TTCTCCCAACACCTGTCCCCAGGCTGACGTGGACCTCTCCCATCCACCTGTCCCCAGGCTGACATAGACCTCTCCCAACACCTCTCCCCAGGCTGACGTGGACCTCTCCATCCACCTGTCCCCAGGCTGACATGGACCTCTCCCAGCCACCTTTGGTGGGTTGAATTGTGCCTTCTCCAAAGTATATGTTCTGGTCCTTGTTGTTTTGTACCCTCAAGTCAGAACCAACCCAAAGCTGACCCTCCAGCAGGTTTTCAGAGGCAGGAAAAACCACTGGAGAGGATTGCCTGCCCATCTTTCTCCCACAGAGCATCTGGTGGATTCGAACCACGTGCCTTCATGTTGGCAGCACAGCTCCTTAGGCCACCAGAGCTCCCTACACTGTAGTCCTTACTACAAAGACTGTGACCTGGTCTTTGAAGATGTTAAGGCAAATGAGGTCAAACCGGAGGAGGCTCTTGACCCTAAACCCTTCTTAGTGACGTCTTCTGAAAGACCCAGAGACAGAGTCACTGTCTTAGGAATGGCAGACCCCAAGTAATGATGGAGAAAATGAATCTCATAGTCGAAAAAGAATGCCAAAGATTGCCAACAGCCTCCAGAAACTAGGACTGATGCATGGAACCACTTCCTTAAAACCCCCAGAAGTAATCCTCTAGAACTTGGGAGAAACACATTTCTGTTCTTTAAAGCCACCTGCTTGGGAATATTTTGTTATGGCAGCTCCAAGACGTGTGGAGCAGGGAGATGGGCCGTGTCCTCTCACCCCACCCCCTCACAGTGCGATGGCTCCATGGTCCCTATTCCTGCTGGTCCCCAGGAAGCAGGTAAGGTGGCCAGAACGTGTGGCAGTCCTCCCCCCTCCTGAACCTCCACTCTCTCCCCAGCTCCCACCCTAGGCCTCAGTCCACCTGACACCCCCTGGATCTGCCTGGCACTGACCACCCCAGGCCTGGGGAAAGGGACCAATGACTGATGCTGCCATGAAGACCATGGACAGTGGGGACACAGAGAGTGGGGAGGGGGCTCCGACAGGGGTCCTCACTGCTTTCACATTTGCACACTTCAAATAGTTTGACTTTTCGAAGATTTCCCAGCGCACACAGTCCTCTGTCCGATGGGTGTGTTTCTCAAGAGAAAACCCAGGAAGACCCTACATGTTGTCTTTTTCCAGGGACTAGCCCCTCCTAACAACAGGAGCAAAATATGTGAGGTGAAGTTTCACCGTCCTTAACTCTAAGCATCACCCTGGTTGCACTTCCTCCAGGGTAGATTTGGGGTTTCTTTAGGCAGTCCCCATACTCTTCTCCAGAAACCCACAGTCATCGCTTCTTCAGTCTTCCCTATTCGTCCAACTTTCAGAGGTGAAGGAAGCAATTTGAAAATTGACACTGACTGGAGCAAAGAATAGCAAAAAGCAATTTACTTTCTTTTTTTGTTTATGCAAACATATTTGACTATGTGGATGATACATTATGGATAAATGTGGGGAGAAATGGGAGTTCTGTAATAGGTCATTGTATTCACGTAGAACCTGTACGTAGACCGAGAAGCAGTCCTTCAGACAGAACAAGGATAAACGGCCTGGCTTAAAATCAGGAAAGGTATGCTTCAAGGTTGTAACCCTTTCCCCATATGTATGCAATCTGTATCCTGAGCAAATTACCTGAGGAATTAAACTATGTCAAGAATTACGGCCTCAGGCTTGGAGGAAGACACATTAACAACCTACAATATGCAAATGACACAGCCTTGATTCCCGAGAGTTAAAGAGACTTGAACTTCTGCAGAAGTTCCGAACTCCAGATGTCATTATAGATTCCATCTCAACACGGAGAACACAAAAATTCTCATACCTGAGTCTGTGAACAACAACGTGATAAGTGGAGGAAAGGTTGACATTGTCAAGAATTTCATTTCAGTTGGATCTATATTCAACAGTCATGGGATCAGGAGTCAAGAAATCAAAGTCTTGGTTTGGGGAAAATTTGTCGTCAAGAACCTCTTTAAGGTGCTAATGAACACGGATAATCCTGTTAAAGACTAAGGTGTACCTGATTCCAGCCATGACATTTTAATTTGCTTCATAAGCAAGAGAGAATTAGGCAGTGAATAAGGAAAACTTGCATTGTGGTTTTGGTGAGGAATATAGACTATACCATGGATGGCCCAAAAAGAGTGACCAAATTATGCCTTAGAATACGTGCAGCCAGAGTGCGGCTTTGAGGGAAGGACAGGGAAACTTCATCTCCCAGTCTTTGAGTATGTTACTAAGAGATTCCAGTCCCTGGAAAAGAACATGGAGCTTGGAAAAGTGAAGAGTCAAGAGTTTGGAAGACATTCAGTGATGGTGATTGCCAGTGTCTGCAATGGTGGGCTTGAGTGCAGTGAAGATCAGCACAGTTTGGTTCTGTTGTACATAGAGTGGTCATGAGTCGGAGTCAACTCGACTGCACCTAACTACAATGGCAATGGCAGCATTGGGATATTTAGATGGATGGATGGATAGATAGGTAGATGATGATGATGCACTCACCAGTCTATACCAGGGAATTTGGAGGAGAGCTGTCTGGCCAACAGATTAGAAGAGATCCATATTTGTCCTGATTCCCAAGAAAGGTGACCAACAGAATATGGAAACTGTTTAACAGTGTCCTTAATATCACATGCAAGCAAAATACTGCTGAAGATATTTGAAAACCAGCTAGAACTGTGCATAAAGAGGGAACTGTCAGAAGTTCAAGCAGGATTTAGAAGAGGCCGTGGTACCAGGATATCATTGCTGATGTCAGATAGATGCTGGCTGAAAAGAAAAAATACCAGAAGAATGTCTACTTGTGCTTTATTGACTATGGAAAGGCATTTGACTGTGTGAATGATAAGTGGTGGCTGACATTGAGAAGAATGGAGCGTTTAATTGTGCTCATGTAAAACCTATACCTGGACTAGTAGGCTGTTGTGCAAACAGAGCAGGGGAACACTGCAAATTTTCAAATTAAGAAGAGACTTGGTCAGGCTTGTATTCTCTCTCCAAACCTATTCAATCTGTATGCTGAGCAAATTATTCAAGAAGCTGGACTCTATGAAGAAGAATGTGGCATTACGATCAGAGGAAGACTCAATATCCTGCGTTACGCAAATGACACAACCTTGTTTGCTGAAAGTGAGGAGGACTTGAAGCACTTGTAGAAGATCAAGGTAGGCAGCCTTTGGTATGGATTGC